AACTTTCTCAGCTCATTTTTTTTTGCGATAACAGAAATTTGTTCTTTGAAAAAAAACTTAACAACACCGTATCCTTTCACTAAAACTTGAATGTAACCTTTTTTGTAATGTAAAATGTTAATAAGGGTTCTAAATTGTCTGTAAACAATATTTTTTTCTCAACTCGTAACTTTCTTATAGTAAGGTCGTCATGTCGATGAAAGCTATTTTCATGATAACACCAGGTAAAAAATGTACTTTTTAAGTGAAAGACATATTCTCGCTAGTTTTACATGCCTCAGAAACACTGGATTAAAGAACCAGAATCTTATGTATCATTTAAAAGTCGCTGAAATAATAATTTATGAACAATATATAGAGGCATAAGACACACTTTTCTGTAGGAAGATGAATACTCTTGAGTTTTACAGGCTAGTAAACAGTGAATTTATAAACTTTTTAAAATTATATAATAATACTTAATTGATAATAGGCATGGACATGTTTGATTTTGATGACTGAAATTAATACTGTGCTGATTAGACATATGACAATAATCACGATTTTCTCAGCGAATATCAAAGAAAGGTAATATGTCTGCTTTATCTTTAAACATCTATAAAGAAATAATTAATATTGTGATGGCAATTTTTTAGAAATCAAACAAACTAACTTCGCTATTACTTTGCAAAATATACTCGTTTGATTGTTGTTAATGTTTAATAGTGGTAAGTTTGAATATTTATTTTAATACTTTTTTGCTTACTTGCATAAGACGGATAAAAGAATTCACTAAATAAAGCCACACTTTTTTATAAGCTTTATAGGATCGATTTTTGAAATAAATCTTTGGAGAAATTACGTTATTATGATTCATCACAAAAATCAGATCAACAAATACTCCTAAAATTATAATAGATACTGGGATTGTGTTCTGGATCAACAAGAAGATTTTTTTTATTATTAATCATGTAAAAGTTTGAGTATATACAGGAAGTTTCGAAAATAAATTATATAGTGGTAATGATTTTATTCTCATAATACATGGTAACATTTTTTAAATGATACTGCAAGTATCAATCCATGGATGAAAAACTGATTGAGAAATATTAGCATAAAAATACAATTCTACACTCTTCTCAACACATACTAGATATTGACATGTAAATATATTGCGATTGCGAACTTGAATTCTTTGAAGGTAAAATAATATTCTATTCTATTTTATACCATTTGTCATGCAAAATTATAACATACTTTTGCATTCCTAAACAAGTAGAATATCGAGGTAAAAAATATGTTATCATAATAATACATAATTAGAGAAATTATGTTACATAAAATTGTAATCAATCTACTTTTTTGCAAAATGTTTCTTCAAGTACAGCCGATTTACTCAAACGGAAAAACTTTGTGTTGTTTACTTGTATTCTGCAGATATTTTTAAAATACAATTTCTGCATAAACGTCTGCTAGGTATTAAGTTAAAAGTTAGAAAAAAACTCTGTGTTATTTATCGTGGATAAGCAGAGACATTATTATCATATAATTGGGAGTCTGTTTGTAAATGACTCAGTGTCAACCGCATGATACGCTTTAACACTAGCTGCACTTTTTCCTATACTTTTTATAGTAACGTTCTATAATAATAAGATTAAATTTCTTTTACGCTTAAAGGTTGTTTTTTAAATGAAATTTTCAAAAGAAACATGTAACCCAAATTATGTAATTTATTTTAATGAATAGTGTATTTATAAACAAACAAGAAAATTATATGTAGTGTAATCCTATAAACAATTTTATGTATTTGGTTACAAACTGAATTATGTAATTTACTTACTGTATTAATAAAGCTGACCCTGATGGTCGATTTTTTCTATATATAACTAAATAAATCATATCTTATCATTATATAGAAATAATTATCAAACATGTCATCAAAGCTTGAGTTATTGAGATAGCAAGTTGGTAAGCTTAAGGCGAAGCTTAATCAGCTTATAAAACCTAAGCTTCCTCTTCCGCTTACATAAGGAGATTCATCAATAAAGAAGTATTTCAGAATATTTGGAGCTTACATTATATTTTTAGGCGTAAGTCCTGAAAGTGAGTTGGCTTAAAGTAAAATTTTCAGTGACTAATAAAGGTTTATCTTACTTTAATTATCTTGTAACATACTTATCAGACGCAAAGAAAATCTGAGCGTGATGATATTCAAATGGGTGAATATTATACCAGATGACGAACCCTGATTAGGAGAATTATTACTAGATAAAGGGATTGATTGTAAAACAATTATCTTGATATCGACATAATCTGTAATACAGATTTATTGCATAAAAAGAGGATGTTACTACATTAATTATTTCGCTCTTTTTCAGTATCATGTAAGAAGTAATATATGCAAAGAATTATTGCAGTATCCCTTTATCTAAACATAAAATTTTTCAAAAGAATACATTAAAAGTAAATCTTATACATTTTGTATATAAATAATTTTTTATTAAGATATAATTATATCTTTTATAGTATATTTAAACTTGACATTATAAATTTTTATATATAATTTGAATCGAATTAAAACTTATTTGTAGAATATATTTGGTTAAAATTTATAAATCTAATATAAGATTTATCTCTTAAAAAAATCTAGTATTTTTAATAAATAAAACTTATATCAAGTATTTTTAAGTAATTTCTTATTAATTTTAATATTTTATATATTAGTAATAAATCATATATAAATTAATAGATATATCTAATTTTCAAAAATAGAAATTATTATAAATAAATAAAATATAATATTATAGAATTAGATAACTTATTAATAAAAAAAAAATCCTTAAGGAATAAAAATTTATAAAAAAATACTTTAAATATAAATTAGCAAATTTATAAAATTTTAAATAATTATATAATTATTACAATTAATATTATAATATGTAAATATCTTAATGATATAAAATTTTCACTTTTGATAATATAATTACTTATATAAAATTTATTGATTTTATTATTATAATATTAATATTTGTTAGCTAATAAATATTTTTATTACTTTATTAATTGTATTGCATTTTGTTTTAATATCATAGAATAATTTAGTTATTTAGTAGATTTAATATTATTTGTATCTAAATTGTCATTAAAATTAATTTAATTTTCATAAAATAATGTATTTTTAATAACTTTATTAAATATATCACAATTTTAACTTTATAAATTAATTTAATTACTTTTATTAAAGTAAATAACTTTATTAAAAATTATATTTTCAAATCTTTTAAAAATATTTTTAAAAGTGCTTTTAATCTTCTAAGAATATATCATTAAAAAGGATATTTGATAGATATTAAAATTCTATTGTATAATGTATAATAGCATAAAATTTAATTAAATAACTAAATTTTATTTATTTATATAATATATTATATGATTATAATTATTAATACTTATTGAAATTTCTTAAAATAATTTCATTATATCCTTTTCTATATTTTTAATATAATTTTTATAGTTTTAACTTTCATTATATTAAAAGGATTTTATCATATCTCTTATTATAATTTTAATATAGTTTTATTTAAATTTTAACTATTATTAAAATATTTTATCCCTTATCTTTAATTATAATAAATCACATGATTTATATTTAAACTAATCAAAATTAAAAGTATTTAATTAAATAAAAGATTAATATCAAAATTAAATTAAATTAGGTATTATTTTATATAATTTAAATTTTTTATAATATATTTAGCTTGTTTAACATTTAAATCTTTTCTATAATAATTCATATTTTTATTTTTGTATATAAATATCACGATATATTACTTTCAATCATAAAATATAAAATTTTTAATTAATACTTAGATATTAATAAGCCAATTAATCACTTAATATAGTATTTTTTTATATAATACTTTTTTTGTTATAAGTTTATTCTCATAAAAAAAATAACTAAACCTTAAAAATTAAAAAAAAAATTGAAATATTCAACGAGATAATAAAATATTTTTATTAATAAAATCAACTTTAATATTTTAAATAAATTTATATATTATAATATATAGTAAATATCTTGAAAATTTTGTGACAATTAAACTTTTATTAAATTTTAAATTCTAAAATTTAATTAAAAAAACAATATATTATAAAAATTTTTAGTTATAACAAAATTATAAATTTTTTGATTAAAGATTATTTTAGCAATTAAATCAATGTATTTAGTATAATGAAAGAAATATTATATTTATTATTGAAGTTGTTACAATTAAAGATTTTAACATTTTATTTATTTAATTGTCTAATTAGTTTAGAATGCATTATAACAATCATATTTAAATCTACTATTTTTGCAATAATTTTTGATAAATTTACTTAATTACTAAAATAATCTTTAAGCAATTTTATTATAACTAAAAATTTTTACAAAATATAATTAAATTTTAGAAATTAAAATTTAATAAAAGTCCAATTATCACGAAATTTTCTTTTTATTAATAAAACAAATTTTTTCTTATTAGTTGAAATATTTCAATTATTTGATTTTTGAATTTTCAATCATTTTGTGTACTTCTGGGTACTATTCAAATTAGGATCAGATTTTTTTCCAATTCATAAATGACTTCACCTTTCTCAACATTGTCATCCTCAAAATTAATCAAATTATCTACTTCAGTAGTTTTTTCCTCCATAAAATAACGTCAAGTATTCACACGCTTTGTGCTTATATGCTCACTCTCGTCATCTAAGTCAATTTTTTAGACAATGATGTTGATTCATTATCATTTAAAAGTTCATGTGCCTTGTTTAACTTCTCAACATTCTTTAAGTCAATCACATAATAATTCAGTGATGTCAAATTATAAGATCATTTACTATTTTTTAAATGACCTTTGATCATTTGAAATTTATAAACGATCGACGATCATCATTATCGATAATAATAATTTGACCAGACAAATTTAATTTTGTCTTAATAGGAAGGTGATCTTGCTGAAGGTATTAGATGTTTTTGTCACCTAAATTAACAGACCTTTTTGAGATATACTTTCTTTAATCGACTCTTCTCGTTGGGTACGTGACGTTTCTTGGTAGTCAAGCATCTGATCCTCTCATTTAAAATTTTTGAAACGATTTTATTTATATTTTAAATGACCTTTGGTCATTTGAAATTTATAAAACGATCGTCATCAGTAACTGTATCATTGCCATGCCATAAAAATTTAAGAGCGTCGTATACTGTGACGGGAAGGTCTTGCTGAAGGTATTGAATGTTTCTGTCACCGAAATTACTTGCTTTAATTGACTCTTTTCGTTGGATAAGTGAACGTTTTCTTGGTAGTAAGCATCTGTATCCAAATCTTGAATTTTTTTGATCCTCGTATTTGAAAATTTTCGAAATGATTAACTGTTGCGTCCGATATCTTTAGGCTGCCAGATATATGATTATAGATTTCTGCTTTTCATAATATATGAACGAAATCAATAAATGTACCATTAACAGAATAAGCAAAATTATAATAAATCTCGACTTACTTGTCCCTTTTTATTGAAATATTTTGCTCATAATTCATTAAAGACTTATTAAAAGTTTCCTATTATGGGAAAAAAAATAATTAAATTAGTAAAAATGCTTTCATGATATCAATCAAAGCGAAGCTGCAATGATGGCGCCTAGCCGATTGCTAGATTCTCCAAGGTCAACCGATCACTGACCAAGAGTCCCCTTTATTTACATATATATTATCGTATTTTGCAAGAGTAGTACCTTTTTAAGTTTCTTAAGAATCTTATTTACCAAGCAGTTTCAGGCCATTCCAGTTGTCAATATTTGACGAAGATTCTAAAATCAAATCCTGGCAAAGATTCACGAACTCACGAAAAAAACATATTTCTCCTTATGTAAGAGCAAAATGATGGTTTAAACGTCACGCGTGGCAGACCGTGTATGTGATTTTCCGGTTTGAAAAATCCTATTTGTTACCTTATTTGTCATATGATTAATTTCGGCCAAGTTCTATAATACCGGCCAAAAATCACATGAAAGCTTTGGGGGTAATACTTTAAAATTATGGCTAATAACGTTGCAGAATTTTTTTTTTATGGATAAAAAAATTCAGCTTCTTGATAAAGAAATAAAAATAATTGGTATCGATAGCAAATTAATATTCCAATATTTCAAATGTTAAAATGTGTTAATTTACTAAAATC